CTCTCTCAAAAAAAAAAAAAAAAAAAAAAAAAAAAAAAAAAAATGTGAAATATAGAGTTACCATAAGACCTATATATTCCATTCCTAAATAGATACCCCAAAGAAATTATAATATATGACCATACAAAATTTAACACTAATGATTATAGCAACATAACTCATTAATAACCAAAAAGTGGAAACAACTCAAATGTCCATCAACTAATGAATAGATAAACAAAATTTGGTACATTCATCTAAAATGGAATATTATTGAATCATAAAAAAGGAATTTTATGGTTTGAATATGGTTTGTTGCCTCAAAATCTCGTGTTGGAGTTTAGTCTCTTACCTCTCGATAAGAGGTATTAAGAGGGTAGAAATTTAATCCACCTACAGTGTTTAGAGGTGGGCCTTTGGGAGGCGATTAGAATTTGATAATTAACAGGATGGAGCCTCCATGATTGGTTACCAGTGACTTTATAAGGGACTAGAATATGCATACACTTGGGCTCCTTCTCTCCTGCCACATAATATGGCCTGTTCCTACTTAGGATTCTGCCAGCAAGAAAGCCATTATCAGATGCAGCCCATCAACCTTGGACTCCAGAACCATGAGCCTCTTTTTTAAATATACCTATTCTGTGGTATTATGTTATTAACATCTGAAAACAGATTAATATAGAATGAAATGTTCACGTACTACAGCATGGATGAACCTTAAAGACAGGCTATGTGAAAAAGCCAGTCACAAAAGACCACATATTAAATGATTTTATCATATGAAAAACCAGAAAAGCAAATCCAAAGGTAATTTCATGGTTTCCAGGGCTGAGGGGAGTGAAGTGAGGATTGACTGATTCTTTTCAGAGTGATGAAAATGTAACTCAACTTGACCATAGTGCTAATCCCACGACTGAATATGCTAAACCATATTGAATTATGTGCTTTAAATGAATAAATTGTATGCAGTGGGAATCAAATCTCAATAAGGCTGTTTTTAAAAAATCAGCTCCATTTTTACATGGGAGTTTAATTTAATGAATTTTTTTAAGCTGGCAAAGACAAGAAACTACAGATAAGCACATGACTTAAAGTGAGAAGGTATAAACAGCCTAATATATGGTGGCAAATAATAAGTAGAGACAGAAATTCAAACAGCTTCCTAATCTGGGTCATTGAAATTAGGAGCTGCTACAGTTTTGGATCTCAAATGCCCCCCAAAGGCCCATGGGTTAAAGGCTTGGTCCCCAGTGTGGCCCTGTTGGGGGGTGATGGAACACTTAGTAGGTAAGGCCTAGTGTGAGGCCCTTTGGTCATGGGGGTAGGTATGCCCTTGAAAAGGATTATAGGACCCCAGCCCCTTTCTATTTCTCTTGATTTCTGTCCAGGAAGTGACCAGCTTGATCCATCAAGCACTCCCTACCATTGCCATCCAGCACCCCACCAGAGTCCTAAAGCAATGGGCCCAACCAAACTTGAATGGAACTTCTAGAACTGTGAGCTAAATAAACCTCTTATAAGTTAATTATCCCAGGTATTTTGTTACAGTAATGGGAAGCTAACACAGGAGTAAAAATCTTGGCAAACCTCACAGTGCTCTGAAGGGAGGGCATCATTTTATCTTGCACACATTAACACCTGGAACTACAATGATTAACCAGAAGTTCCTTTAGTATACCCTACTAAACAAATGATGTGCACACAGTACATCTTAGAGGTAGATTTTTTTTTTTTGAGATGGGATCTCACTATATTGTTCAATCTAGTCTTTTTTTTTTTTAGAATTTTTTTTCACAATGCTCCTATAGCATAAGAATTAAAACTTAGAATCAATAAATGGGATGGATTCAAACTAAAAAGCTTCTTCTCAGCAAAAGAAACAATCAGTGAGGTGAATGGAGAGCCTACATCTTGGGAGAAAATCTTTACCCCTTACACATCAGATAGAGCACTAATCTCTAGAGTATATAAAGAACTCAAAAAGCTAAACACAAAAAAAATAATAATAACCTAATCAATAAATGGGCCAAGGACATGAACAGACACTTCTCAGAAGAGGATATACAATCAATCAACAAATATATGAAAGAATGTTCATCATCTCTAGCAATTAGAGAAATGCAAATCAAAACTACTCTAAGATATCATTTCCAGTCAGAATGGCAACTATTATGAAGACAAACAACAATAAGTGTTGGCAAGGATGTGGGGAAAAAGGCACACTCATACATTGCTGGCAGGACTGCAAATTGGCCCAGACAATATGGAAAGCAGTATAGAGATTCCTTGGAAAACTGGGAATGGAACCACCATTTGACCCAGCTATCCTAGTCCTTGGTCTATACCAAAGGACTTAAAATGCATATTACAGGGACACAGCCACATCAATGTTTATAGCAATACAATTCACAATAGCTAAACTGTGGAACTAATCTAGATGCCCTTCAGTAGATAAATGGATAAAAAATGTGGCATATATACACAATGGAAAATTACTCAGCAACAAAAGAGAATAAAATCATGGCATTTGCAGGTAAATGGATGGTATTTGAGAAGGTAATGCTAAGTGAAGTTAGCCAATTCCAAAAAACAAATGCTGAATGTTTTCTCTGATATAAGGTGACTGACTCATAGTGGGGTAGGGAGGGGGAACATGGGAGGAATAGATGAAATCTAGATAGGGCAGAGGGGTGGGAGGGAAGGGAGGGGGCAGGGGATTAGCAAGGATGATGGAATGTGATAGACATCATTATCCAAAGTACATGTATGAAGACTCGAATTGGTATCAACATACTTTATTAACAACCAGAGATATGAAAATTTTTGCTCTATATGTGTGATAAGAATTGTAATGCAAGGGCTGGGGATGTGGCTCAAGCGGTAGCGCGCTCGCCTGGCATGCATGCGGCCCGGGTTTGATCCTCAGCACCACATACCAACAAAGATGTTGTGTCCGCCGAGAACTAAAAAATAAATATTAAAAATTCTCCCCCCTCCCCCCTCTCTCTCTCTAAAAAAAAAAAAAAAAGAATTGTAATGCATTCCAACATAACTTATTTTAAAAAATCAATAAAAATTTTTAAAAAATAAAAAGAATGTTTTTTCACAATACCTTCATTCCATTTACTTATTTTTATATGGTGTTGAGGATCAAACCCAGGACCTTACACTCCAGGCAAGCGCTCTGCCACTGAGCTACATCCCCAGCCCATCCCCTATCCAATCTAGTCTTGAACCCATGGGCTCAAATGATCTTCCTGCCTCAGACTCCTGAGTAGCTGGGATTATAGGCACATACCACCACACCAAGTTAGCATCTTGAAGTGCATGCCTCTTGAGGCACATAGATGTTCTGTGCCTCTTATCTATACAGATGAAAAGGATCTCTTCAGAGCTTGTTATAAGAATTACATGAGGTAATGTGTACAATGCGTTTGGCATAATCCATGAGTTGTCATTATTATAATATAAACAGGAGACAAAGAACTGAGCTAATAGCAGAAAGGCAAATTCTATCCTATATACTTCATTTAAGAAATTATGGTTATACTTAAGCATTATTGGACTACTTCTATCCCAAATAGTTTAAATACTTTTGAAAGTTGGCAAATGGTAAAAACTAGACTATCCAGAATGTCTTATTCCTTATTCCCTGAAGCGTATAAGTAATAGATTTTACTTATTGTTCATGAAAACAGGAGAAACTGAAATCACAGTTAAATCATTTTTTGTGGACATATTTAGGTTAAGGGGAGTGATATATTAGTTCTCCAAATGGTATAATAAACAGCATGACAGTATTTTTGTTTTTTGAAGGAGAACATGCCCTCTACAATAATAGTCATGAACATGGAATTTTAATAACACTCTGGAATTCCAGAACTCAGGACTTTTGCCAAATGTTTTGAAACCTGGCTCCATGGATTCTTGATCAAGTGACTTTTCTTCCATATAACTGTCACAAAAATCATACCTCAATAAAGCAAAACTACACACTCGTTATTTTCTTCCATAGTTCTGCTGAGACTTAAATGGAAAAGCTCAGGGAACAACATTCAAAAGTTAAAATGTTTAAAATACCATGTTGCTTGGCTTTCACTGGACTCTTCCTTTTTTCCTTTTCATCTTCTTTTTTCTATTATGTTTCTACTGAATCTTCTATAAGGTCTGGGGCTCTGAATCTTTGGGTTTCTTAATAAAAATGTGCAACTTATTCACACTACTGATATAATCAGGTTTCTAATTTCCTCAGCCAATTAAGAATTAAACACTTTAAATTTTGATAGTACTAGGGATTGAATTCAGGGCCTCACACATGCTAGGAAAGTGCCCCACCACTGGGCTACATCCCCAGACCTTTTTTAAATTGATTTTGAGACAGGGACTCACTAAATTGCCAACGCTGACCTCCAACTTGGGATCCTCCCACTTCAGTGTCCCAAGTAGCTGAGATTTCTACCCACCTGGGTAAGAGTTATTCAAAGAGTTATCACATACCTGTGGGCAAATGAATCCTGCCCCGTACATGATGCTCCTTGTGGAAGAAGAAAGAACATTCCTGGGAATGAGATTATCTGCAAAAATCATCATGAAGTTATTGAAGAAAGTTAAATGGAAGACTTGTAAGAAACTCATGATCAGAAAAAGGAAGAAGTTCTTCTGGAACAAGATTTGTCTCAAAAATAAGGCGACAGAGGTCCAGGTGAGATCCTGTTCACTTTCCAAGAAAACATTTTCCTGGCTGCTTCTTTTAGGTTCAAAATATCTCATGTAGTACATGCCACTATAAAGGCTGCAAGCTGCAAAAAAGGCAATGACAATAGCAACAGACTGAAATTTGGGCAGAATTTCCAAGTTATTAGAGATGAGGCCACAGAAAAGGACACTGGTAGATCCTACTAGTGCTGCCACATGATTCATTTTAATCAGCTGAAGATGACTTTCTTGCCTAGTAACAGTTTCTGCAAAGAATCTGCACTGGGCTTGCTCCACACAAGTAAGTGTGCTATCAAAAGCACATAATGATACCACCAGGTGAAGTGCACTAAGCCAGTCAATTTCTTCATAGAATTTCCAAGGGAACCAAGGAAGCAGAAAGGCCACTGCATATAAAAGAGTTCCATATAAGACAGAAAGATTACTGCATAAAAAGCGTTCAGTCTTAAAGTCGATGTGAAAATACCCAGTCAGGACATTAAGAACATTCCAGATCATTAAAATTATCTAAGGAGAAGAAACATGCAGGTTTATTTCAATAGTCATGTAAACTACTACATTTAGTATAAGATGAAATCACCCCTGATTTTTTTTACTTAAATGAAGTATTTAAAACTGATAGAAAAAAAATCTCATTATTTTCAGAACCAGTTGAAATATTAATAATAATAACATCTAGTACTACTCAAAGCCAATGTGCATTCACTTTGTATTAGGTATTATAAAAGTATTCATATGCATTATTTTATCAAATCCTTAAAAATGATATTATAAGATAGGTACTATTAATATTCTCAGCTTACAAATAAGGAAAATGAGGGTAAAAAAGGTTAAGCAACTTGCTTAACTAACAAACAACATAGTCAGGGTCTGAACCAAGGTAGTTGACCCAGAGTCTGTGCCCATATCATTATGCTAGACTTGTCTCCCAACCATGGTGCACAGAGCCATCCACGCTACTGCAAAGAATGACATAGTGTCATTTTGGCATACTTTCATAGGCATAGCATTATATAACTTTCACCAGGAAAGATTAAAATATCAATGTTTGTCAACTAAAAATGAGTACAGTAAATATGTAGTTGTCTTTAATAAATAAGTAGCATTATAAAACATAAGAGTTTTAAAACCATCCTTTGTAATGAATTACAGTACAATTTGCACTATCTCAGGCCTCTCTATGACAAGGGACATTTTAATAACAAAATCAATTATTTCACGTAAGTTAATTTTCAAGATGACCAAAGTATAGCCTTGGTTTTATATTTTAAGTGGCAATCTTTTAAAAATCTCTCTTTGTCCTCAGAGAACCTTAGACATTAAGAAGTTTTTCAGCTGCGCGAAGAATCAACTGTTTTGTAAATAACAATAATAACACAACCCTGAGGAAGTTGTTCTGTCCTATGTAAAAGTAGAGTGAAGACTCCATCTCACCTGGGATTGATAGAAGGCCACTTCAGGAACTCGGTATATATGTATAAAAAATTTCACATAATAGAAACTGAAGACAGAATTTAGCATTTCGGTCCCTAATGTTATCAGACAGTATGCCCGAGCAACCGGATTGATATTGAAAAGTGTCATTTTCCATGCAGAGGAACTTTTCTTCCCTATGTTTTAAAAAAAAAGTTAAAACTCACAGTTTGCATGCGATAGTTGATGGTTGGTAAAATTCCATTGGACACTAGTTAATTTAACTTAAGAACCCAAAACTACTAGCTATGAATTGTCACCTGATTTAACACCCTATTTATATGTACTAAACATTTTTTGAGATATTTGCCTTGAATTCTAACTTGCATACAATGTGACTATTTGTATTAATTTTATTTTTTTTAGTTTGTAGATGTAGCATGTCTTTATTAATCTTTGTATACGGTGCTAAGAATTGAACCCAGTGCCTCACACATGCTAGGCAAGTGCTCTGCCACGGAGCCTAGCCCCAGCCCTCTATTTATATTTTTCATATATTTTCTAAATTGTAAAGTAAGATTTATCCAAATGTTTGGACATGCTTAGGTAGCAGTCAGCTTATGCATTATCCCCCCTACTTGGAAGAGTACAACAGAAAAAGAACAATGAGATGACAGCATTTTGTCAGAGAGAAGGAATAGAAGTAAGTCCCTCATCTAAGGATAAAGTTATCCACTCAGTAGCACAGATTTGCATTTGAAGATTTATTCCTGATCTTCTCCTGATAGACTATGTAGCTTTGACCCAAAGGATATCTATGAGGGTTACAAGGAATGTAAAAATAATACATTCTGATTCTTGCTCTGATGTAGATGCCTCTCTCAAATCTATCCTATCACCTTACCCTTTAATCCATAAAACCAGAAAACAGGGAAAGGAAACCAAGCAAGAGGAGGCACAGTTTCATCTTTTAACTACAGTTTTTGTTGTTGTTATTGTTTCTTCTGGTTTTTTTTTTTTTTTTGGTACCATGGATTGAACCCAGAGGTGCTTAACCACTAAGCCACATCCCCAGACCTTTTTATTTTTTGAGACAGAGTCTCACTAAATTGTTGAGGCTGGCTGTGAATTTTGGATCCTTCTGTCTCAGCCTCCTGGCCACTGGAATTACAGGTGTGCACCACCACATCCCACTTGACTACAGTTTTAACAGACCATCATGATCTTCATGTATTATCTCTGGTTTACTAGAATATTTGTCGAAATCTCCACAATCTTACTGAGTCAGAAAATAGATAAATATTCATATAAATGGAGGGATGTTACTTGCTTGAATAATCCTTGGACTTCTGTTTTAATTTGGAAGATCTAGGAACAGTCTATGATCCCCCAATTTCTTAGGGAACAAGAGGGCAGGTTAAAAAGGGGGAAATGGACATTTGACTCAGATGATTAAATGATTGGTCTATAAGCTTCACTTTGACCCCAGTAGACTGATGGTTCTAATTCTATGAGCAGTAGGACATTAGAATTATCAAGAAAGGTTATCAACCCCATGTGGGTACCAAACATTGTAGGCTAAACAAAGAATATTTTGCACGGGCTGAGTATATAGCTGCTAGCTCAGTGGTAGAGCTTGCCTAGCATACAGGCCACCGTTTTGTATCCTAGTACTGGGGGGGGGGGAGGCATTTCGCCCATATGTATACTTCTGCTCTTAAAATGTTTGTAGATTCTGCCAAAATGATAAGAAACAAATCTATTTTATTCTCATCATTATACAGTTCTCAAATACTTAAAAGTATAAGTACTACAATATCATGTGGTCAGCCAATGTTTTTGTCTTTAATGGGTAGTTCTCAGATTTAAAAAAGCTGGGAACTACTGGAGAGGACCTCACTCCAGGGAGTTACTCTGGGCATAAGTGACTGGGCTAGAGGTCACTTTGTCACTAAAAGAGCCAGAAAACAAGGGAGTCAGTAGAACCAAAAGCCAAGATACAAATTTAGCCCACTGAAATCTAGGCATTCTTTTTTTTTTTTCCTCTGAGTTTTATTTTAAGCACATTAAAACAAGAAGCATGCCACGACTTTCTGAACTGATCTATCATTAAGTCAAAAGGCAGGCATTTATAAACTCAGAAGTGTGCAAAGTGTTATAAACTCCCTGAGGAGTTCAAATTTTTTTTTTTCAAAGAAATCGAGTTAGGCACCAGCCTTTCTGAAACTAAAAATATAAGATTTTGATAGTATTATGAAAAACTCTACAATCTGAATTTCTCTGCTTGATTGTATTGAGAGGAGGAAGTAACATCTTCCTTACTTCCCTCTGCAGAAAGAACTATTAGTATTTTGCTTTAGATTACTTTCATCATAGTAAATATGTGTTTCAGGAGATATTGAACTGAAAATCACCACTTAAAATCTCTCCAAAGCCACCACTACTAACTAAAAAGTCTCCTTAAAAGACTTAAAATACTTTTGACATATATACACCCAAGGACAAAGAATTTCTGAAGGAGGATCTTCTTTTTTTATAAATATTTATTTCTTAGGTGTAGTTGGGCACATATACCTTTATTTATTTATGTTTATGTGATGCTGAGGATCGAACCCAGGGCCTTGCACGTGCTAGGCAAGTGCTCTACCACTGAGCCACAACCCCAGCCCCCCTGGAGGATCTTCTTCACCACAAAATGCTTTAGACAGAATAGTTTAAAAGCAGCAGTGCTGTAATGGTCAGGCTGGGTAAGTACACTAAGTACTTGTGAATTATTAAATGAACACCTTTTAGAATCAACTTGGGTAGTTATTCACTAACCTACTACTCAGCCAAATGGTATTAATGCCACTGAAGAGGCCACTTATGACTGCTTCTATGCATGACTAACAGGCTCTAAAAGAATAATGGAGTGCCTCTAAAGCAGGGATTCTAGCACTCAAAAAAAAATTCAGTGTAATTTTTCTTTCAGTTTTTCCAAAGGAGCTGTACAGTTCCTGAAAATAGTGTCCTTAAAAAAAACAACCCACTAACATTCCGCCCCCCCTCAAAGGCATAAAGCCTGTGGGGATTTTGGATTTGTTTTTACTGCTTTACATTATCAGTAACTTTAATTCTCCAGATTTTTCTTTTTTTAAAAAAAGAGGATTGTTAAAGAACATGCCAGGGGCTAGGGTTGTGGCTCAGTGGTAGAATGCTTGCCCAGCAGTGTGAGGCCCTGAGTTCAATCCTCAGCAACACATAAAATAAAATATATTGTGTCCAACTACAACTAACAAAAATATATATATATTTTTTTAAAAAGAACATGCCAATACATTTTTTCCATTTAAAGACAAAATGAGCTTGTATTTGTCATGGATAAAACAGCCAGCACCACCAGTGACTAAGGTCACATGCAGGATTCTAGAACTTCAGCTTCTACAAATGACCATTAGCAAATCATAAACCCAATTTTCTCTTTCCAAAGTGTTCTATATGTAGTGATTAAGAGAATTGGTTTTAAATTATCTTATTTTGCCTCTATACTATATTTCTACCTGAATGTTGACAACCTGGGCAGTAGAGACTTTAGAGGGGACTAGCTTTCATCTTTATAAACTAGCAATAAAAACTAGATCAGTAACATCTTACCTTTCAGTATTGCCTGTATTCAAAAGAAAAGGATTTGTGAATTTACCTTTAATTTAAATATTATTACTTTTTAGCACTGGAATTCCTTTTACAGTTTTTGGTTGGTATTCTACAATAAGAAAGGGCTTTCTTTTCCCTATCACTCATTTATATCAGTATGGCCTCAACATTTAATAGGTTATAATCCATTGCTATTATTATTGTTGATTTTGATGCACATGAACTGGGGATATTGCTCAGTGATAGAGTGCATGCTTAGCATGTCTCGTGAGGCCTTTGCTCCAACCCCAACATACAAATAAATAAAAGATATATTTTGATTGTCCCCAAACATACCCACATTTTCAAACAGTATCACTAACAATGATAAGCTTTATGTTTGAGAATGGCACAAAGTACTATAAAGTTTTTGTCACTCTCAAAACCCTGTAAGGCAAAGAGGTAATCTCTCCTGCAAACAGTTTGCTAAAGGCTTCTCTGTTTGTGTCAACTGCAACTAGAACTTGAGGGGTTTTTTTGATTGTTTAACCCTAGGTCTAGATCCATAATGCTTTTTATTCTATTAAGAAGTCTTCCAGGGGACTGGGGTTATGGCTCAGCAGTAGAGCGCTCTCTTCGCATGTGCAAGGCCCTGGGTTCGATACTCAGCACCACATAAAAATAAATAAAGTTATAAAAAAAATACTGATTTCATTAAAAGGGGGGAGCCTTCCTGAAAGGCTGAAATACCTCCAGCAATACCCTCACAATGGGGAGCTTTTCTTGCATTGGCAAGTTTTCTCCCAAGATCTGGGGCCTGCAGGCTACATGTCAAGCATCAACTTGTTACCCTGATTCCAACAAGAATGGAAAGGAGGACTCTACATTTTATTACCCACAAGACTATTTTGAGTTTTTCCCCAAATCACCCAAGTATTTATTAATTTATACAAAGACAAAAGTAAGTTTGAGGATCTATAATTGCTTCCTAACAATTTCTCCTACTCCTACATAGCTTTTGAAAAAAATTTTTTGGTACATTATAATTATATACAATAGCAGAATTTGCTGTTACATATTTGTACGTGCACACCATATAACAATTTGGTCAATTTTATTCCGCAGTATCTCCCCTTTCTCTCTTTTCTCCTATTTTTAATACAATGTAAGGCTTAAAAAATAAATCACAGAGAGATGTATAATGCAACTCCAGTCCCAACTCACTTCTCCCTTCAGGCACTTTTAACTGTTTCCCATTTTAGTTCTGAGAGCTCTCTCATCTGTGGGAAGGAATTATTGAATCATCAACTTAAGGCGTCATCAACTCACTGCCGAGATTGATGAAGATTTAACTAACATTACTCTTCACCTCTCTCTCCCCGATTTCCTGGTAGTTATTATGACCTTTTGTTCTAGAGCTAATCTTTCAATAATATATTTCAACCTCCATCTTTTGTTCCATACACGTTAAACAGTAGCACTGCTCTTTTCCTAAAAGCTGCACTGTTAGGTTCACTTGGAGAATACTGACCTTCTGTCACCCTATTTGGAGGGTGTTAGGTCTGCTTGATGATGTTAAAAGCTCAACACAGTATTTACTGTGCTATGTCTATGGAGAAGGGCGTGCACTGCCCTGCTGGCCATCAAGCCTGGGACGCACGCAGCCTCTCCTCTGTAGGTGCAATGGCATGCCCCCAGATCTTAGCTTGTGGTCTACGAATCTTTCAAAAATCGTATGCAAAACTGTGCACTTCTCTCCCCTCAGGGAGACTGCTTCAACCGCCCCCCTCGCCACCCCCCAGATTCTCAAGCGGGTCGGGTGCCCGTCCTTTTAGAGGGCATAGAACAATTCCCAGTGGCTTGGACGCTAGAGCTCAGATGTCCAGGAGGAAACGGCTAACACTCACAGGGTGTTTTCTCAGCCCTAAACTCCCCCATCGACCCTGAGTCTCTGCGCTTCACCAAGAGAGTCTGGGAGTCAAGGTAAGAGAAGGGCCGGCGGGGCAGCGGACTTCGGGCTATTGGCACCCTCAATGCCTCCCTCCCGTTGGCACTAAGGGCGCGGGACAATAACCTCCCACTGCTCGGAGGCCAGAGTCCACGCAGCTCCAGCCGGCGCAGCTCGTCCACTGACTGGTGGGCGGAACACCCACCACAGACGCCGGGGAGGCCGCCGCCGCTGCCTCCACACCGGAACCCTGAGCGCACTCTCAAGAGAGAGACAACGCAGGCGAGGGGGCGGGGCCTTCGGCCTCACCCCTTCTCCTTTTCCCCGCCTTCTTTGTTTCTTCCGAAGCCACCATTGGCTGACTGCCCTCGGGACCGGGCGAGCCGCGGACCTACAATGAAAGGCGATTGGGCAAGGTTGCTGCCGCTCGGCCAGCAGCCCGCTCGCGATTGGTCAAGAAGCCGCCGGGGGTTTGAATCGCATCCCCGGTCGGGGAGGGTTCTGCCAAAGTGCCACGTTGGGCCGGGCTGCGGCGTGAGGAACCGGCTCTGGGCGCCAACCGGGGCGCTCGCGCCGGGGCGCCGGGGCGCCGGCCGTTGGGGCCGTTGGGCGGCGTGAGAGGAGTCGGGAAGCGGTGGACGGCGAGCTCTGCGGACCGCCGCGGCGGCGGTCAGCGAGTAGCTGTGGTGAGGCGGCGCGGCGGAGCCTGGGCGGAGGCGCGTCCCGCCCGAGGGCGGCTCTGGCTGAGGGCGGCGGGACCGGGGAACAGCCCGGGGCAGCGGCTGAGGCGGGACGGCGGCGGCGGGGGACGCTGCCCCTGGAATCCCCGGCAGAGATGCTGGCGGAAAACCTGGTGGAGGAGTTTGAGATGAAAGAGGACGAGCCGTGGTACGACCACCGGGACCTGCAGCAAGGTGAGGGCGAGGTCGCCCCGCGGGAGGGCGAGAGGCCCGGCGGGGAGCGGGGCACTGCTGGTGCGAAACTGTTAGAAAGTTGCCTTCGCTCGCGGTCGGGGATGCCGACGCCGGGAAGGTACCGCGCTCACCTGGCGGCGGGGCCCGCCCATCTCGCCCGCAGGAAGCGTCTGCGCCGGGCCCACGGCCCTGCTAATGCGCAGCTCTAATAAAGATCGCCGGGGCGTGTTGAGTGAGAAATCCACGCCAGGCACTGCTTGGAACGCTTTCCGTGGATTAACCGATTTAATCCTCGCCGCATTCCTCCGAGGCGGAGAGGGGTGAACCAGCGTGCCCCCTCTAGCTGGCAGAGCCAAGGAAGCCGCCCCTTAGGCTGCCGACCCCGCCGCCGCCTCCTCTGAGAATCCTAACAGCGCCCTTAATGGCCAGCACAGAGTGGGAGCTGCCGCAGGTGGCGGCAGTAGAATTGCTGTAGGGCAGGCGCTCTGCCAAGCCTTTGCACACCTACTGTCCTTTTAATCCGCATCTTCACTCTGAGTACCCTTTGTTATTCCATTTCCAGACGAGGAAAGCGGAGGCTAAAGGGTTAAGGGGCTTTCCTGAAGCCAAAGATGGAAACAGGTGTTTTTAAACCCACAAACTCAGAATGGGGAATCATAGTTAGTGTTCAAACCCTCTCTTCTCCTGGCCATCCCAGTTTCCAGCTTTTTCAGTTATTACCGTGTTTTTTTTTTTGTTTTAATTGCTTTATGTGTAGTTCAGCAGATGCCAGATGTGCACGTGGATTTCTTGTTGTTGGTATCTCCAGAGGACAGTCTTACAGCAGACCTCGATTTGGAGCCAGATTTTTTTTTTTGGCATATTAATAACAGAAGTTTGCAGTTGGAGAACATTTTTTATGTGTCAGACACTCATAGGCCGTTTACACAGATGCTCATTTAATCCTCCTTACAACACTAGATGCTGATAGGAGATTCTAATACTAGTTAACTGGTAGAAGTAGATAGTGTTGGGGGAGCTAGAGTTTCACTTCAAATTCCAGAGCAAACGTTCTTAACCACTATACTGAATAATCCTCACGATTTTTTTTCATGCATCTTCTGTTTGTGCAGTTCTATGTAAACAATTATGTCATCTCTAAGCTTTCAGTGAAAACATCTCATTTACTTGCATATTAAATTATGATGATGCTTGTTCATGCTACCATTGATAGACTTGAAAAAACCCAAGTACCTTTTTAGGGAAAAGATGATTTCTTAAATTAACATTCAGTGACTTAAAGTGGTTCACCATTATGCTTATATAGTCTAGCTATTAGCAGTTGCAACACAATATTTGCCATCATTTTCTGTATGCCCCAAAGACAAATTCATCATATATTTCAACGACTGTTGTTTTGGTTTGCCCCATAAGGATTGATGGCCTACTTTGATACTTTAAGATTAATGAGGCAACTTCATGCAATTGCAGTAGTTTTCCCTGTAATAAATCAAGCAGTTTGTATAATCAAAGCTAGATATTTTTTTTTCCTGTGTATAAGAAGCATACATAATTTTTAAGGATAGGCTTTTTTTAAATCTCCCACAATTAGCTGATAGTTAGCTCATCATAATAGAAGCTTGATTGTAATATTGGCTGACTAAACTAAAGCACTCATACAGGATTACTGTTTTCATGGCTCTCTTCCATTAAGGTGCTTTAATCCACACTGCACTCTCCTTTGTGGGAGGTTATCAGAAACAACCAGTTACTGTTTCAATCAACTAAGAAGCAAGTACACAAGTACAACACATTGGGCTTCCATGTGGAATTCTCCTTAATCTGTGATCAAAATAAAGTCATCGGAGCTTTAAATTTAACAAGCCTTAAAGAACCTCTGAACCTCTTAACTGCTGATTTGCATTTGGAATTTGTTCTGCACTTTTCAAAAGATTTTTACATCCATTATCACAATGGTATTTTGACATGACACTCAACTAAATGGGGTAGGAATAGAAGATGGGAAATTCCAACAATCAAAACTTTTGAATATGGCCTATGAAAGAATGAATACTGCAGTGTGGACAAAAGGATATCTTTCCCCCACTGAACTTTTTATGTGATGCATAGAATCAAACCCAGGGCCTTACTTGTGCTAAGAAATGTTCTACCACTCAGTTAACCCCCAGCTAGAACTGAATTTCTAACAGATTTCAAATCTTGTTCATTTCTCAAAAATTTATTTTCTGTTCTATGTCAGATATTAATCTAGGCACTGGGGCCAATGGTGCCTAGATAGGTAGACAGGATTCCTAGTCTCAGGAAGTTGATGTTCTTTCTAGGAATCTATAGAAGCCTGTTGATGCTGCCTCGTGCTGTGTGCCCAGTATGGTGCCTGGCACATTATAGGTCATCAATAGATGTTTGTTACTGAGTAAAGTTTGGGAGCAACTCTGTCCCTGAAACAAATCAATTAAGCAGGTCTAATGGGATCTTATCTGTAGACATCTGTTTTTTTTTTTTATAATCCTGTTAACTTAGGCTTATTTGGAGTGGCTTAAAACAATGTTTAAAGGTCCTGTTCTCAAAGCCTTAACCATTACTAAATTTTTTACCTTTAGCAATGGAAGCCATTACCTAATAGATTGAGTCCTCCTTGTATCAAAGTTTTCTAGAGCATTTTTATTTAAAGTAAAACTGCAGAAAAATTCTAAACTCAGTAGACTCTTGTCTCCTGTTCATACCTTATTAGAAACATGTAAAGCTGAGTATAGGGAAAAGGAGAAACCCCTTTGCTTTCAAAACACTTGGATAGAGAGACTAGTTTTTGTCAAGAGGGCCGGGTTGGCACAGTGGGAATACTGACAATAATCTCTGTGGGTATGATCTTTTCTGGGACAGCAGGAACCTTCTGTGTTGGTAATGATGGTGTTTTCTTTGAAATGGGCCCCTGTGAACCAGGTGGAAAGACATCAGAGACTGATTTTTCATTTACACCAACTGCCATTATAATTGTCCTTTGGTGAAGCTCTGCAAGTTAGAATAAGGATTAGGTTTCTAGTATGTAGATCAGCAAATGACATCTTAGTTTAAAGGAATCCAAAAATTTCTTTTCAAGATGAGTAACATCTTCCTTATGTGCACCTAATTCGCTGAATCACAGTTTGGAGGGTCATTAAAACTGGCACCATCATTTCTCTTGATGTTTATATTCAGGTTTTTGTGTTCCCAATTATAGTAACGTTGGCAACAGGAGTTAAACAGAAGCGTCACCAAGTGACGCATTTGACTTTGTAATGGGAAAAGCTTTCAGCCCTAATGTTATTGAATTACTGCTACAGACTACAGCTAACCTGGGAATATGTTGTTCCTCTTTTTTTTTTTTTAAGAAACTAAAATAAAGCTGGGCACTGTGGCACACTCCTGTAATCCCAGCCACTCAAGGCTGAGGCTGGAGGAGCACAAGTTCAAGGCCAGCCTCAGAAAGTTAGCAAGCCCTGTATCAAAATTAAAAAAAAAAATCAAAAGGACTGGGGATGTAGCTCAGTGGTAAAGGGCCTCTGGATTCAACCCCCAGTATGGAAACAGAAAGAAAGAAACTTAAGTAAAATGGGGAAATATACTAACAGTGGGACTTAAAATATTTCAAAATTCTGGAAGAAAGGTCTTTTTACTCCTCCCCCCCCCAAAAAAAAAAGAAAGAAAAATTCACTCAGCTGCTTGTGCTAATTTTTTCTCAAGGCTCAAAGCTGAGTGAATATCTATTTACAGCTAACAGTTTACACCACTAAGATAGAATATTACCTGCATTCTTTTACTGATTAGTAAAAGAATATCAAACATATGAAGGTATTGATAGTGTTGCAATTCTCAAGCATGCCATAAATCTGATATTTTTAAAGTCTGCCTAAGCCAGGCCAGTTCAATAGGATTTAGAAAAGAGAATGAAAATCCTCATCATAAAATAGAAATGAACAGGTGTGCAAGGCTTTGAAACTATATTGTTCCTTGTGTGTGTGTGTGTGTGTGTGTGTGTGCATGCCTTAATTAAAAATATAAATAAAGGACATTCCATATTCTCCTATTCCCTCTACTAGTTATTTAGAAAACCTTGGGCTTATTGCCAGCTTTTGGCTCCTTTTGGTTATGGAAGCCAGATGCTACACAACAGGAAACAAACTTTTTTTAAAGACCAGGAAAAAAAAAAAACCCTCCAACGTCTTTAAACAGATGAAGTAATGTCCTATTATACAGTGTGACTTCACAGATGCTTTTCTTGTAGTTGAGACTTGCTAGAATTCTAAACATCCTATGAAATATTTAGGAGACTTGGAGACTTCAGGTTACTAAACCAGTTGGGTGTATTGTTTAACTGAAAATAAGGATCGAGATAAGGACAAGTCTCAAATTCTCTTTTGTTTGTTATTTACTAAAGAGTACTTGGCCTCTGATTCTGGGATGGAGGGAAGATGTCCTTAGCTGCTATTAAGTAACATAAGCAGTTTCATAATTGAATGAAAAGTGGCTGATGCAGCTCTCAATTGATTTGGAAGAGGTTTCTTTCAGCTTGGTTTTTGATTGCTAGTTAAGAACATTCTTGGTGAGTCTCTGATCCTTCCCAGTGAGAAATTATCACTTTTCAACAGGCCAGAAGTAAAGCATTAATGCTTAGGTAATGCTTTGATGCTTTGTCTTAATATATTGTGATGGTTTCTTTGTGGGTCTATGTATACACATTGCACACTCTGAGCATAGAATATTTATTTCATTCTCAGCCATATGTGGTTCTTTTGCATTTCATGGTAACAAGATATTAACTTGCCTGGGGCTATATATGCTTTTCACTAGCAGAGAGGGCAATAAATATCCAAATTGTTGAACTCTAGTGTCTCATTGCCATCTGTGAAAACAAGTAAACAAGACTAAGTCCCTCAACTAGGGAAATTTGTATCATCCATCCATCCATCCATCTATCTATCTATTTGCCTATGTATCTATGTATCTATAGTTTTAGTTGTAGTTGGACACAATACCTTTATTTTATTTTTATGTGGTGTTGAGGATCAAACCCTGTGCCCTGCGCATGCTAGGTTAGCACTCTACCGCTCAACCACAACCTTAGCCCCTGTATCATCTATCTTAAAGAATATGTGTAACTCCCTTTCATTAGCCTTAAAACTGCAGATGTGGATGATAGAGAATCTTGATGAGAGGAAATTAGAACCTGTTGACTGAGTAACTTCTGTCTTACCTGTGACTTACTGTATGGATTTATTTGATCACGTCATTTAAAAACTGGGTGACATGCCTTGTAAAGATAAAAAGTTTAGTGGTACATGCCTGTGATGCCAGCAGCTCAGGAGGCTGAGGCAGGAGGAGCACAAGTTCAAAGCTAGTCTCAGTAATTTAGCGCCTTTTCTCAAAAGGAAAAATAAAACAGGCTGGGGATGTGGCTTGGAGGTTAAGTGCCCCTGGGTTCAATCCCTGGTACAAAAAAAAAAAAAAAAAGTTTGTAAACATTTTTGTTAATTCAAACCCAGGGCCTCATGAACACTAGGCAAATGCTCTGTTACTGAGCTACATCCCCAGCCCTGAGGTCTTAATGTAATAATAGTAACAGACATTTTAAACATTGTTAATATCGAAATCAGAAGAGACTGTATTTTAGACCTGTCTACCAATATTGTTTTGTCTAAAATGGTGTAAAATGTTTTAAAATGAGTTGGAGTGATGTGTGGTAAATGTTATTGCTTTGAATTTTCCCACTGAAATCCAAACAAGTAGAATAACAATTATGCACTCAGGTGAACATTACTAGGTAACAAAGTTGTTGCTTTTCTGTTACCACTTATTCTAGGTTAAATCTTAGTAGTAATGTCAACCTTTAAAAATTCAGTTTAAATTCACATGAGGTTCCCTGTTTTCATAGTAAATATTTGTTCATAGTAAATACATTTTGCTGGGCATGTAGGCACATGCTCCAAATACCTGGAGACTGAGGTAGGAGGATCATAAGTTCAAGGCTAGCCTGAGAAACTTAGTAAGACCCTGTCTCAAAATAAAAGTGAAAGGGCTGGGGATGTAACTCCATGAAAGCATTCTTGCCTAGCTTGCACAAGGCCCTGGGTTCAATCCCCAGTACCACAAAAACAAAACAACTAGATATACACATGTACACATTTTGATATAATTGAAATGACTTTCCATCATACCTAGAATAAGATTCAAAATTTCTCTACCATGGCCTATAAAATCCTATCTGATCTGATTTCTGCCTTGTTTCTCCCACTCCATCTCTCATGTTCTTCCATCAGCTTCCCCCTACTGGCTGCTTGGCCAAGTGCTTTCTTAGTTCTTGCATGGTGACTTCTTCATCTTTCAAGCTGTAGCTGTTTCCTCGGAGAGATCCATCTTGTGACCTCTTGCTCTAAATTGTCTCTTTGTCCAGCTTAGCAACTTAGCAAAGCCTTAAGCAATTTAGTAAGACCCTGTCTCAAAATAAAAAATAAAAAGGACTGAGGATGTAGCTCAGTGGTTAAGGACTACTGGGTTCAATCCCCAGTACCCCCACCCTCTGCAATAAATCAATAAGGCCTTTGTTATAACCAAATTGAGGGGTTTCCCCCACTTATCTCTCTTATACTCCATATCACATTGGTCAACAAATCCTGATAGCTTTACTTTTAAAACGTGTCAGAACCTTGCTCCTTCTTCCCATCTCCATCTCTCCTACCTAGTACAGGTCACCATCATCTCTCATTCAGTTGATTGCTTCATTTTTCTGTCACTATGCTTCTACCTTTGTCCCTTTTGTTTACACAGCAGCCAGAGTGATCTTGTCATACCTCTGCTGGGTTCTATCACATTTGAGGTAATAGCCAAATCTTGACCTCCCTAGTAAGGTCCTATGCAAGTGAGTCAACCTTCAGGCCTCTCTGATTTGACTCCCCACTTTCTACACGCATTCTGTTCAGCCTCCTTGGCTTCCTTAATATCTCCAATCAGCCTTCCTCCCAGGGTCTTTGCCCTTGTTTGCCTCTGCCTGGAATGTTGTTCATCTAGATAGATCTGGGTAGGTCATTTATTCAGTTCCTTCATATCTTGATTGGAATGTCACCCTTGTCATGTTTTTAAAATTCAGCAACTTATCTACACTCCTCCTGTAACCCTTCCTTGCTTTATATGTTCTCTTTAGCACTTATTCTCTTTATTATACGTTTTATGACATTTTTTTCCTATTGGGAAAAATAAGGATATAAGCTCCATGAGAGTAGGGAATTTTTTTATCTGAGTTCCTAGTAGTCCTAGTGCCTAGAATGTATTGTCTGATGTTATTGAATGTCAGTATGTATGTATGAATGGTATTTATCACAAGTTTGTAAATTTAGTAATTTTTTGCTATCTGCCTTCCCCCATTAATCTGGGAATGTCAACAAAAAGCAGGAACTTCATCCATTTTATGCACTTTTCTAGATCCAGAGTTTTAATAGTGCCTAGCAACAAAAGTACTGATTTGTAAATCATTGGATACTAATTGGTAATATTTTGCCTGTGTATTATAGCACAGTTTGTAAAGTACTTCCTTACTTCATTTGATTTTTACAATCTTATCTTGACAAAAGAGTCATTGCTTTAATAACTCTGAAGAAAATTATATGTAGTGACTGATAAAGTCACCATCTTAAAGTGTTCTGGTAAAGCGTAGTCAGAATTGGACCTCAGACCTTCCTACTCAGAGTGCAGTACATTTTCCACTATATCAAAGGAGACTGGCCATAAAATTTACTGTGCAGATAAGTATTTCAGTTACCTATGTTAAAATAGTGTCTTTTTTTTATTACTAAGTTTTAATTTCTGGGGTTATGTATAGTATAAACAAATCCTATCTTATGTACATATATGCCTAAGAAAAAATACAGTTGGAAATTAAGCTTAAAGTAATATATGGTTATATGCTAAATGGAAGTATGAATCAAAAAATATCTTGCTGCTTGCTTAGCTGGTTTGCACAACTTGGAGAAGGACATGAAAGAAGTAGAGAGAGACAGACCTGGGGCAATTTTTTCACTGATACTGTATTTTTCTTTTTTACTTAATTTTTAGTCCCACTAGGAGTCCAGGATATATAACAAATTTTATTTACAGCAGCCAGATTCATTAGAATTTAGAAATCACTGAAAGATCTGTCTGTATGTTGACTCAAGGGTCCATCCAAAAAAGTAGACTGTCAGTCTATTTCACTTGCAAATAATTATAATTTTAGAAGTCAAAATGCTGAGAATCATCCCCAAATTAATAACTACATCTCCATAAAGTAGATTGCTATTTTTCATGTCATCTAAGTAATTCAAGTATGTGATAGTACTCCACTGACTAAAGATCCCAGTTCAAGTAATTTTAAGTAGAAGTTGGTTTTCTTTGGGCCATTCTATGTTGATCTGACTTGTATGTATTGGTTCATTCTTATTTTAAGGACTGGTTTATATAAAATGTTGGTTCATTCTTATTTTAAGGACTGGTTTATATAAAATGTTGAAGTGAGTTCATTTGTATTTCTGTGATTTATTTGTTGTGCTAGATCTCCAACTTGCTGCTGAGCTTGGGAAGACATTACTGGATCGGAACACAGAGTTGGAGGATTCTCTTCAGCAGATGTACACAACCAATCAGGAGCAGTTACAGGAAATTGAGGTAATGTCCTCAGTGGGAGAATTGCATTTTGATGTGTAGCAATCATATACTCCTACACTAATGCTTGCAATTAGAAGTACAATATTCTAAGGTAGATTCTTTTTTGAGAATAAAAACCATCAGAAAGGTGGAGACTTGATTTCTACTTTCTGTAGGTTTTCCCAGTACATAAGTATGTGATTTTCATCTTGCTGTACACTTAGTGAAGTGAACCCAAAATTTACTAATATATAAAGCAAAAAAAAAAAAAAAATACGTAAGTCTTTGTGTAATTGGGAGAGGATGCCTGTTGGTTATATTACAAACACACTGCTTTCTGATTTAACTTATTAAGTTCCCAGCTTTCAATAGGTACCCATTATCAAGCTTAAGAGAGAAAACTATCCATACTGTTGGAAGTTCCCTATATACCCACTCTTTGGTGGCCTCTCACTTCCTCCAAACACCATTCCAAATTTGGATTTAGGTGTTCAAAAATTATAGTACCTGATTTCATAATGTATCAAAGAATCATAAAGTATATGTTTCTTTCTCCTTGCTGTTATCTTGATTTTACTTATATTTTTGGTGGATTTCATTAAAATATTACTTTTTGCCTAACTTAAACTTAAGATGAAAGATGCTAGACTAAGGCTTTAAAATGGAAGGTGCTATGACCTTATAAATGTTCCCATTAAAGAAACCTAGTTATATGTAGGCCACTTGACTATAAAGAAGATAATTGTTGCTATTAACCCAATAATTGCCCCATCAGAACAACTTTCTTCATACCCCAAACTTCCACCTACCCCCCAAAAAGCTTCACACTTAAATTCAATTATAACTCATTTCCCTCAGCTTGGTACAGTAGACCCAGAACTAGCAAGATATAAAAGACTCCATAATAGTAGCAAGATATAAGACTCCATAATAGTGACACAGTTCATTATAATTAGTACTTTCTAGCTCCAATTATAATTCTAGGGAAGGATAATTTGTAAAGATTTTTGAACTCACTCCGCACCATTTTTAGCATATCCTACATTAAAAACAGAACAGCGAGGTGCAGTGGCACATACCTGTAATCCGGCGGCTCTGGAGGCTGAGGCAGGAGAACTGTGAGTTCAAAGCCAGCCTCAGGAAAAGCGAGGCACTAAGCGACTCAGTGAGGCCCCGTCTCTAAATAAAATACAAAATAGGACTGGGGATGTGGCTCAGTGGTAGAGTGCCCCTAAGTTCAATCCCTGGTACCCAAAATAAATAAATAAGAACATAAAATATGCTATACCCTAAATTGAATTTAACAACTTATAGTTTGTCAGAAACCTAAAGACACAGGAAAACCAGGTATTTTAAAACTGTTGAACTAGCCAAGTGTTACATGTAGTCAAGGAAATCTTTTCCTGTTCTGGCTTTTTTTTTTTTTTTTAATATCTTTATTTTTATGTGGTGCTAAGGAACCCAGTGCCTCACACATGCCAGGCAAGCGCATTAAACCTTGTCTTTCAACTCTTTGAAAGATTTCCTGGAGCAACGTAGACTGTTATACACTGTGAGATACATTTATTTGTACTTGGATAGAAATATAGTCTCAATATATTGTGTTAATGTCTCCTATGAACATATCAATGAAATTCTAAAACTGATACTTATTTTAACATATCTCCCAAGGATAGATGAAAGAAGTCCAGATATTTGTGTAATTGGGAGAGGATGCCTATTGGTTATATTACAAACACATTGCTTTGTGATTTAACTCATTAAGTTACAAGCTTTCAATTCTGTGAATATTTCAGTAAAATTGACAGGTACATTAAAATAAATTGGAAATCATAACCTAGAGTTTACATATATTATATTAATAGTATATATAATATGTAACTATTATGTATTATATACTTTATATGAGCTTTTATAGGTGTTCTGCCTCTGGGGCCATTGGAGAAAATAGATTAAGTTGTCTTTCTACCTTTTCTGTGGTATTGAGGATTAGGCAGTTAAGACAGATTGTTTACATTCTGACAGAATCCAAAGATCTTTGAGATTCTTCAAATCTTCCATCTAATGTCATTCATAAAATGTTTCAAAGCATAATGGAAATGAAGTATACAGTTCAGATTTTAATGATAAATATATAATTAAATATTCAAGCAAATTTAGTTTAGAAACACTTTGATGAGACAAAACAGGATGTGGTCCACTGGTTCATAACTTTAAGCATTGAAGAATTTGGTGTTCTTTATCCAAAACTGGTTTGGGCTAAGAACAGTTACTGTCGTAGAGTTCTTCACTGCTATTATGGCTGGCTGGCTTTTCTTTTTTCTTTCTTTCTTTGAATCTCGTCATAAAAATAAATAAGGATGGGACAAAACAGGGAAATGAGATGGGAGCAGTACTGACAAAGCCCACTTGTCAGGAGGGACTCCCATAGTCTGTGTTTCTGCCTGCTTATGCATATCCAAGCCCAGAAGACTTACGTACAGATCACAAGTAGACTTCTGAGAGGGTTCTCTCTAGTAACCTAAAACAAAGGATGTAAAAGTAGCCAGTCAGCCAAAGAGCCTGATTCCCTACTTAAATGTGACCCCTGCATTATGTACCTCTTTTCATTGCAACCTTCAGGAAACCCTCTTTAAATATTTTATAAGGACTTTTCCTTAATTTAAACTTCATCAATTTTTTTCTCTTTGCTTAAAAACTTTTTAGTAGAATATACAGACAGAAAAAGAACACAAATCCTATGTATAGTTTGATAAATTTTCATAAGATTGGGGCTAGGGTTGTGGCTCAGTGGTAAAAATGAATAAACAAAATAAAGAAGAAAACAAATTTTTTTCATAAAGTAAACAGCCAGCATCCAGATGAGGAGAGCATTATCAGCCTGTCCAGGCACCACCCTACCAGCAGTATCCTAACACTGACATCCTAGATAAGTTTAGCATGTTTTTGAACTTTTACAGAAATGGAATCACTTGTACGAGTGGTAAACTAACCTTTTATTTTACTTAATTGGTGCTGGGATTGAACACAAGGCCTGATGCCATAATCATACATTCTACCACTGAGCTACATTCCTAATCCTAAAATAACTTTTTAGAATATACTGGTGTTTCCTCATTAATAAATGATAATTATTTAAATTTAGAGTAGTATAGTTGAAAACCAAAAAGTCAGCTCTTATATCCCACCACCTAGAAAAATTTAAATTGAGACAAATGGTCCAGAAACAAACTAGTCAGAGTGAATAAAGAGTTGTCAGTGCATAACTGATGAAAATACTACATAAAATCCGAAACTCAGCCTGGCACAATGGTGTATGCCTGTAATCCCAGCAGCTCAGGAGGATGAGGCAGGAGGATTTTGAGTTCAAAGCCAACCTTAGCAAGACCCTGTCTCTAAATAAAATATTTTAAAAGACTGGGGATGTGACTCAGTGGTTAAGCCACACTGGATTCAATCCCTGAAGTAAGTAAGTAAATAAATAAATAAATATTGAATGAAATCCCAAATTCTTGATTTATTATGACAGTAGATAAATGACTGGGAAACTGCCAAAGGCTGTTTTGTAATACTACCACAAATATTCATGCAAAACCTATTTGTGACTTTCAAATAATTCTCATAAAAAATGATCAGTATTTTTGATAGGTGTAGCTTAAAAAGCTATTGAAAGAAATAGTTCCATTGGCTTCAGAGAAGTCTGGAACCTGTCACTTTTATTCAGTGCTAATTTCTATTTTTTTTAAGAGTCTAGAGCAATGTTTTTTTGTTTTGTTTTGTTTTCTTTTTTTTAATGGGAGAGAGAAGCTGTGGAGAGTAGTAGGATCTGACACAATCTTTGCTACCATCACACAAGCCTTCTATAGAATTTTAAAGCATTTTGTGCTTTTTTTTTTATCAGTATTCTACTGTATTTTATGCTTATTTCTTGACTTATTTTATCCCCCCTCCCATTTCTCTTTGCAACAATTAAAACATTGCTGTGTTTATTCATGGTCTTTCACACATAGTAGGTAACCAATAAATACTTGTAGAAATTTAACAGATAAACTGTCTATAGTGCTGGGATTATAACTCAGTGGTAGAGCGCTCGCCTAGCACTGGTGAGGCACTGGGTTCGATCCTCAGCACCATATATAAATAAAATAAAGGTAAAAAAAAAACATTAACACATTTTTTTTTTTTAAAGAGTGAGAGAGGAGAGAGAGAGAGGGAGAGAGAATTTTTTTTTTTAATATTTATTTTTTAGTTTTCGGCGGACACAAAAATCTTTGTATGTGGTGCTGAGGATCGAACCCGGGCCTCACGCATGCCAGGTGAGCGCGCTACCGCTTGAGCCACATCCCCAGCCCGAGAATTTTTTTTTAAAAGAGAGAGTGAGAGAGAGGAGAGAGAGAGAATTTTTTTTTTTAATATTTATTTTTTAGTTCTCGGCAGACACAACATCTTTGTTGGTGTGGGGTGCTGAGGATCGAACCCGGACTGCACGCATTCCAGGCGAGTGTGCTACCGCTTGAGTATATTTATTTTTTAGTTGTTAGTTGTAGTTGAAGACAATACCTTTATTTGTTTTTATGTGGTGCTGAGGATCGAACCCAGGGCCTCATGCTTGCTAGGCAAGCGCACTATCACTGAGCCACAACACCAGCCCAAACGTTAACACATTTTTAAAAAAAGTTTATAAGGCTCTTTGAATAATTAGGAGAATTGTTTATTTAAATAAGAGATTTTTTTATTTACTTATGCATGCTGGGGATTAAATCCAGGGCCTCACTCACACTAGGCAAGTACTGTACCATCAAGCTATACCCAAGCTGCCTACCTCTGGAGATTGTAAAAGAGGTGGAAGGAGCTCTGGCCTGGATGTTAGGAGATTGAGGTGTACACCTCAATTTTATTTGCAGATAGCTAGAGAATTTAGCCATGTAAATTGCTTCTCAGATCTGTTTACTCCATTGTGGAATGTGATAATAATGTTTATACTACATTGATACGTAGTTGTTCTAAGGGGATGAGTTTAT